AAGCACCTTGTGGGTGTGTGCATACGTGAGTGCATGTGTGTGGGTGTGTGCCTGTGTACCCGCCGGCGTGTGCACACACGTGTGTGCACGTGCACCTGCGGGTTGTGCACTTGTGCCTGCTCTTGCACCTGGGGGGTGTGAACAAACTGAATGTGTATGTGTGTGTATGCACACCTGCACATGGGAGGGTGTGTCCGCACGTGCGTGAATGGCTGTGCATGCAGGTGGGTGGGTATGCATGTGCCTGGATGTGTGTGCATAATGCTTGCATGCACAGGTGTGTGGGCATGCACCTGGGGGGTGTGCATGTGTATGTGCATGTGTGTTTGTGCATGTATGAGGGTGTGTGCAAATGTGTGTGGCTTCACTCACCCCCTGGGCCATACACAGGCCCCAAGCACCTGCCCCAGGCCCCCTCTGCCCCCTGCCTGCCCCAGCAGGCTGGGTGGACAGACAGATGGTCTTGGGGGACGGGGAGGGGGCATCTGCGCCAGGCTGGGTCCAGACCCAAGTCCAGGTCCTGATCCTGGCCATGTCTCCAGTGCGTCACTAGGGCGGCTCCTCCTGGAGCCTCATAGCACCATAGGGGAGTGGGAGGGGGGCAGTCCACACCTCATTCAGTCTAGGGGGGGGGTGCCCCGCTCTGTCCACAGCTGCCCTGGGAGGGCATTGAGTCCTGAGAGCGCCCAGGTGGGCAGGCAGGGGGGTCCTGGGGACGGAGGGGCCCGGAGCTGTCCCCCTTCCTGCAGCGGCTCAGCCCACGAAGCAGACAGGGCCCAGCTCAAAGCCAAACTTCTGCCCTGCACCCCCAAAGTCGGTGACGGCCACATCAGCCAGCGGCAGCCACTCCACATGGGGCCCCCGCACCTCCAGCACGGTGCGTGCCTGTCCCCGACGCACCTGTGGACACATGGGCCAGGAATCAGAAGGCAGGGGTCAGAGATCAGAAGGGGAGCAAGCAGGTCAGAGAGGGGCAGGGGACAGGGGCAGTGGGCAAGTATTAGAGGAGCAGGGGGCAGAAATCAGGAGCGGGGGCAGAGGTGACAGAAGGCAAGAGTAAGGGCAAGGACGGGGCGAGGGCAGGGGCTGTTGGGAGCCCTGGGATGCCTATCTCACCTGGCAGCCGTCAGCAAGGGCATGGATGGGTGCACTAGGGTGGCTGTGTCCAAGCTCCTCACCGTTGGCACCGCGCAGTCGCAAGGCCCGGGTGAAGCTGCTGGCACTGGCATCAAACCAGGCAGCTGCGTTTTGGCAGGTGAGTGCAAAGGTCTGGTAGGCACTGGCACTCAGCAGCCTCAGGAAGGTGACCTGAGGCACTGGCACTATGTGCCCATCCACATCCACATATGAGAACTGCAGGAGGGGGCATGGAGGGCCAGGTGGGTGTCAGGGCATGGCCACAGAGCCCCTCTGCCCCCCAGCTCAGGACGATCCCCTGGAATCCCCATCTACCTTCTGGCCCCGCTTGAAGGAGCTGAACCAGGACTCTGGCTTCTCCCTGCTCCAGGCAGCCAGTCGGACCTGGGAAGGGAGGAATGGGGAAGCTGGGGGGCACCAGGCCCCGGCTCCAGCTCTCCACAGCCTCTGGGAGCACCAGGCCTGCTGGTGCCCTCACTCTTGAACTGCAGCCCCATGCCCCCTTCCCCCTGCACTCACAGCCTCAAATTTCTTGTCGGGGAAGAGACAGGTCTCGCCACCAGCGGTGAAGTTACAGAAGACCCTGAAGGCATCTCGGGAGCAGCCCTGGTTGGGGTCGATCCAGTACTCACCTGAGGGGGCAGGGAAGGGTCCAGGAGGGGCTGCTGCATGGGTCACAGCCACCCCCTTGCTCCAAGACCACAGAGGGGTGAACTGACAGATGGATGGACCAGCTTCCACCCTCTCCAGGCTGAACCCAATCCTCTCCCCAGAGCCCCCCCAGACCCAGAGGAGCTGGCTCCATTTGGCCCCATCTCACTGCTTCTCTGCTTCTGACAGACCTGGCCCAGACTCCAGGGTTGCCAGCCCTTCCCCCAGTGCCCCCCAGATGCCCCACAGTGACCCCAGCCAACTCCTCCCAGTTTCTGAGCCCCCACTGGCAGCCAGAGCCCAGACTCCAAGATCCCTGCCCCCTGGTTGTCACCGTCAGGCAGATGAGGGTGGGAGAGCCACAGCTCGGCACAGGCACGGCCAGGACTATCAGGGGTCCCATGCGGGCGCCGCAGCTGCTCCACCTCAGCCTGCAAGGAGCTCAGCACTGCATGAACCTCCTCCAGGCCCTCAGTAGACTTGGGGGACAGGCCTGGTGCTCCCCGACGCTGCCTCCGGCCTCCCGCCAGCGGCAGTGGCTCCAGCAGCTCCATTGAGGGGCCCTGGGGTAGAATGGGCATCAGGTCAGATGAGGCAGGGGCAGCGCCATTTCCCCGGTGGCCCTGGGGGGCCAGGGGGTCCTGTGTCTCCTCTGGGGCCCAGCGCCCCCTGCAAAAGGAGGAGGGCTCCATGCAGGCGGGAGTCTAGATAGATGCCTTGGTTCTCTCCCTCTCTGGGATGGCAGCAGACAGTGCCCCCCCCACCCCATCCCAATGCCCCCACCTGGCCATACTCACTGGGGAGCCCTTGGAGCCCTTCTGGCCCACCGGCCCCTACAGAGAGAAGGGGAGGGGTCAGGGAGTGCCTGGGCAGGCTGATTCAAGGCTGACCCCCAGGCTTCAACCTGCCCCCCACAATCCCTACAGGCAGAAAGACCAGCTGCTTGGACAAGTGTGCCAGTGGTGTGTGTGCACACAGAAGAAGTGTGTGCATGTGCCTGGGGTGTGCATATGCAAGTGTGTGCACCCTCATGACCCTGTTGGTTGCATCAGACTTATGTGGCCCTGCCACAGTCCAGCACATACTCACCGAGAGTCCGGGTGGTCCGGGGGGTCCAGGGGGACCCAGGGGACCGGTCATGCCCTGCAGGGACAAGATGGGGTCAACTGTGCCCCCCCTCCCCCCGCTGCCACCCCTGCTGTCTCCCCTGCAAAGCAGCCCCTGTATCCCCCAGGCTCCCCAAACCAGCCCCTACCTCCAAACACTGGGTCCCTCCTCTCAGTGCCTCCCTGCAGCCCAGCCCCCACACAACTCCCAGGAACTAGTCCCCGCCCCTCTCAGACCTGCCATCCCCTGGGTCCTCACCCAGCCCCTCTGCCCCACATGCCTCCCTGCAGCTGCTGGAAATCAGCCCCTACCCCTGAGTCCCTGCCCAGCCCTCCCACCCCATACTCACGGGATTCCCTTTGGGCCCCATGGGGCCCTGGACACCAGGCAGCCCCCGGTCCCCCTTCTCGCCCATCTCTCCAGGGGGACCAATGAGCCCAATGAGTCCTGCATGGCCCTGGGGGGCAAGAGGTGCCAGCGTCAGAACCCCCCACCCCAGTCTCCAGGGCTCTGAAGGGATGGGACTGGGATCATGGGGGTTGTGGTGGTGGAGTATCCAGGGGGTCACAGCAGGGGAACTCACCTTGTCGCCCTTGTGCCCGGGGTCACCCTTGAGTCCTGGCAGCCCCACGGGGCCCTGCAGGGCAAGGGGGAGAGAGTGGGGGGTCACCTCGGCCTAGCCCAGCCCAGCCCTGTTCCTAACTCAGCCCAGCCCAGCCCAACCCTAGCCCTGTCCCCATCACACACTCACCATGGGCCCTGGTGGCCCCGCCTGCCCTGGTGCACCCAGCAGGCCCTGCTCACCCTGGGGGAGACACAGTGTCGGTGTCGGGGTGAGGAGTAGGATGGGGACCCCAGATCCTGCCTCCGCTCCCCACCCCCTTGCCAGGGTCACTGCAGGGAGCAGGCTGCAGCATGCAGAGGTGTTGCATGTGCTCACATAGACTTTGAAGTGCTGGAGCATGAACAGGCACACATGGGCCAGAGCACATCTCGCACAAGTGTGCACACATACCAGAGTACACCTTGTGCAAGTATGCATGCATGTGCCCTACCATACCTCACACATTGGTGCCCACATGCACAGAGCCAGCAGCTGGCTCATGTGGGCTGAAAGCTACCCAGCACCATCTTCCCCACCCCCACCGCCCTGCTCCCCCACTGCTGTCACTCACGGCAGGGCCTGGGATCCCATGCAGGCCATCGGGGCCAAGTCGGCCTGGGGGGCCCTGCGCTCCCACGGGCCCCATCTTTCCAGGTGGCCCCTCTGTGCCTGGCTCCCCCTGGGGGGAGACAAGCTGTGTCAGAGCATTGTCAGGCTGGGGGGCAGGTGTGGGGGCTGTTCCCCTCCTGTGGCCCCAATCCTGCCCTAAGCCAGGGCATGGGCTGGCTCAGGGTTGGAGGCACAGGGGCTGTTCCCCCCACCCTCTGATGCAGAGGTCTGCCCAGCTGGCTCAGGGTGGCCATGTCACAAGCACAGGGGTCTCAGTGCTGCCCTGGGGGGGAGGGGGGGCGATCACTGCTCACCTTGGTTCCCTTGTCGCCCTGATGGCCCTCGCGCCCCATTGGCCCTGCCGGCCCCTAGGCAAAGACAGCGATCAGCACTGCCCTGCATCCCCCATGGTGCCCCCCACCCTCTGCACCCCCACCCAAGGCCCCCCTGCACCCACCCCCACTCACCCTCCGTCCTGGGGGGCCAGGGGGGCCAGGTTCCCCCGAGGCGCCAGGTGGGCCCTGCAAGAGACCAAAGCAGTGTCAACAAGAGCTGGGGGGGCACACAGGAGATTGGAGGCAGGGGCAGTGCTGGGGTCTGGGTGGGGCAAGGGGGGTCAGCCCAGCCCCCATCACCCATTACTTACCAGGGCACCGGGGTTTCCGCCATCACCCTTGTCCCCAGGGGCTCCGTCCAGGCCCTGTGACAGAGACAAGTTAGTACCTCTACCATCCTCCCCCTCCCCCCACAGAGCAGAGAGAGAACCCAGGCATCCAAGCTGCCTGATCCCCCGCCTCCAAGCCCCCAGATACCCCCACCCAGAGCAGAGGTAGAGCCCTGTTGTCCAGCCTGCCTGATCCTCTTGCTCCAACTCCCACAGATACCCCTGCCCAGAGCTGGAGAGAACTCAGATGTCCAGGCCCCAGCCCCCTCCCCCGATCTTAACATCCGCCTCAGAGAAAGGAGAGAACCTAGGTTTCTGGGCTCTCAGCCCCACTGCTCCAACCCCACAGCACCCCCTGGCCACCCACTTCCCCAGCTGGAGAGAACTCAGGCATCTGGTCCCCAGGCTCCCTGTCCCTCTCTCATCAGGGGACAATGTTGATGAATCCAGCACTGCAGGAGCCCCACCTCCCCCAGCCCCTGTACCTAGGGGTGGGGAGCAAACTCACCGACACGCCAGGGTCTCCTGGGGGGCCAGGATCTCCGGGGAAACCAATGGGGCCCTGCGGGGGGTGGGGGTAGGGCACAAGTGTGAGTGCAAGGGTGGAGCACTCATGCCAGTGAGTGCTCATCTTGGTCCTCCGTCCCAACCTAACATGAGCATGTGAGGGTGTGCAAGGGGCCAGTGTATGTGATGGTGACTCACCTTTGGTCCCTAGATCCCCACTGCAGCCTTCAATGCCCTGCTACACCCTCCCTTGTACTCACCAGATCACCCTTGGCCCCATCATCACCAGGGGGTCCCCTCTTGCCTGGCGCTCCAGCTGCACCTGATGGCCCTGCATCGCCCTTCTCACCAACGTCCCCCTTGGTGCCCTGCCAGGGAGGGGGTGTCACCGCCAGGTGGGGTGGAGGGGAAGGGTGGTGCCAGGACCTGCCCTGACCTGCACCAGCCCCCACCAATGGCTGTGGCACGGTGTCACCCCCTCCCTCCCCACACTGGATACTTACGGGGTGTCCTGGCTCCCCTGCAGGCCCTGGGTCCCCTGCTTCACCCGGCTCCCCCTGCAGTGAGACCAGGCTGGTGTCAGGGCCCCAGAAAGGGGATGCATGGGCATGGTCCCCCCAGCTGCATGGGGTGGACCACAGGCCAGAGGAGTGCTGAGGGGGACACAGGATGCAGCTGGCTCTGTGGGGGTTTCAGGGCATATGCCCCCTGCCTCCTCCACACTCACCTTCTCCCCGACGGCACCCGGTTGCCCCACTCCACCCAACTGCCCCTGGGGGCCCTGCAATGACAAGACATGGGGGGAGGTTACTGTGGCTGGACCCTCCCCCCAGCCAGGGGGCCATGTGCCTAGACCCCAAGGCTGTCCAGCCCAGGTGCTAGGAACAGCCCCACCTGTTGCCTGTCAGACCCTCCCTGCCCCTTCAACCCCTCTCCAAACCCCCAAGCCTTCCCCAGGCTGCCCCTCAGTGTTAGCAGCACTCACCTCCCCACCGCTGGGGCCCTGTGGCCCTCGGGGACCTGCAGCTCCGGGGGGACCCTGCAGGGAGGAGAGCAGAGCATATCAGAGTAGTGGGGGTCATGGGGGAAAGTGGGGGAGGGGTCGTGGGGGTCATACCATGGGGCCAACGTCTCCGCTCTCGCCCTTCTCACCAGGAGGGCCTGGCAGGCCCTGAGGAGGAAGCAGGGGTGAGTGGGGCGGGGGGGCAGGTTAGCAGGAGGCAGAGTTCATGTCACCCCCCCTGCCCCTGGACCCCGGTCTCCCTCACCCACTGCCCTGTCCCAGATTCGTCTGGTGGTGCCCCTCACTCCTTCCACACAGGCCCCCACTCCTGCCGGTACCCCTCACTCCAAACTCTCAGTCCCCTGCCCCCTTCATTCCTACCTGCAGTCCATCAGGCCCGCTCAGACCAGGGAGGCCCCGTGCACCCTCATCTCCCTTCTGCCCGAACATCCCCTGCTGCCCACGGCGCCCAGGCTCCCCATCCAGGCCCTGGAGGATGGGGGACAGGTAAGTGTCAGCTGGGGGCAGGGAGCACCAGACATGTCCCCAGGGCATGGGGAAGGGGACGGGGCTCCTGGCTGGGCAGGCACTGGGGAACAGTGGGTGGGTGCTGGCTGGGGCGTCACATAGGGGGCCTGGGGTCAGAAGGGCTTGTTGCAGGGTGGGGGGTGTCAGGTTGACCCCCCCTCCCCCTCCTTGTCCCTGGGGTGGGGGGAAGCCCAGCACTAGCTGATGCCCCCTAGGCCCCCATACTCACCGGCTCCCCCTTGTCCCCCTTGCTGCCTTTTTGCCCTGGCAGCCCCATCTCACCCTGCAGGGCAGAGAGACCTGGTGAGACCCTGGTCACTGGGGAAACCAGAGCCTGTTGCCAGGGAACTGTAACCAGGGAAAAGCCATCACCAGGGAAACCCCTGAACAA